GAAGGAAGGAAGGAAGGAAGGAAGGAAGGAAGGAAGGAAGGAAGGAAGGAAGGAAGGAAGGAAAGAAAAGAAAGACTCCACTACCCCAAACTCCCCTTTCACCCATGAACCACTTCCCAAAGCCATCTGTATGTGATTTCATTTGTGCTGCTTTTTACTACACATGAATTCATTGAAAGGGCTTCATCTGTCTCTTACCTTTTAGAGCCGATAAAAATGTTACTTATAAGAATTCAGCATTTGCACTATTGTCTCACCATAAGACTAATGAAAAAAAAATTGTAAAAATTATATATCCACAAAAACAAGCCCAATACATGATCTCATGCTGCAGATCGCCCTTTTCCTATAAAACCCTTCAAAGTGCAGCTTAAAATTACTTGTTTTCAGATACTTCAAATAATATTCTCTCTGTCTCTGTCCCTGTCTCTCTGTGTCTCTGTCTCTCTGTCTCTGTCTTTCTGTCTCTGACTCTGATTCGCTCTCTTACTCTCTGTCTCTGCCTCTCTGTCTCTCTGTCTCTCTCTGTGTGTGTCTTTCTCTGTCTCTCTCTCTCTCTGTCTGTGTCTGTCTGTCTGTCTCTCTCTCTCTCCCCCCCCCCATCTATCTTTATCCCTATTTCTCCAGCATTTTTTTTTTTTTTTTAGAGAATTCTATCACTTTTATTTTCAGGGTTCTGGTTTCTAATAGGAAAACAACATCATCCCCTCTCCCTTTCCAGAATTATGTCAGAGACGTTCTTGTACCACCACAACCTCTTACCTCCATACAGCCAATTAAATGCTGTCACAGAGAGCAGGAACCATTCCCACCTTGCAGAAGCAGAACATTGAAGAATAAAAATTGGAAAGCAAACCTGAGGGAGGTAGCTTGCAGCTTCCTCATTCCTTTCAAAAACATTTCTGCTTTTTCCAGTTGTCTAATCCCCTGGGGGTAAATGATTATTCAAAACCTTTAGCCCTTGCTTCACAACCTGGGAGGACTTTATTGGCGCACCGGTTTAAATTGTAACTCTGCTCTTATTGTTCACTTGATAAGCAGGTCAGGATCATTGTATTGTCCTCATGTTGCAAGTTCAGCTGAAGTCACACCCACATTCCTGCTCTTCTAGAGTCACCAGTCACTAATTGCGCAGAGACACAAACAGCTCAGGGTCACCTCTGTCTTCTCTCAGCTCAGCTCAGAACATTCCTGCCTGTGAGGACCAGTGCATGTGTTTTTTTCTTTTTTTTTTTAAGTATTTTATTTATTTATTTCTTTATTAATAATTTCATTGAGGGCTGGTGAGATGGCTCAGTGGTCTAAAGCACCTACTTAGAACAAGCTTAGCTAAAGCACAGGGACCATGGTTCAATCCCCCAGCACCACATGCCAGCCAGCCCTGCCCCCTGGTGGGCTGAGCTGGCCACACACACACACACAATAAATAAATAAATAAATAAATATTTAAAAAATAATAATAATAATTTCATTGAGAAACAAATATCAGGGAGACAGTTTCACAACTGATTACTGGCACATTTACAGTAATGCAAGCTCCCACTGTTACCAGTAGTGGTGGAGCCAGACTTCAAATCCCATACAAGGACCTGGCCACGCCTCATTGACAGCACTGTTGCTTTCTGAGATCTCAGATTACTATAACCTTCATGGAAATGGAGTTTCCATCTCTTTTCATCCCGTTTCCAGTACTCCCCTGTCTAATACAACTGAGTTATCTGTGGGGGAGAGATTTCTTTAATTCTGGTGGACTGAAATACTTTTGGGTTTGCTGGTTCTTACAACTGTCTCCCAGAGGCCACTGAGCTTTCTGGAGTATTCGCACCCTGATTTTCTTCCCATACAGCAAATCATTTCAGACTGTACACACTTACACCCTGTTTCCTGACCTCAACTTTCCCCCGAGCCTGCTGGAGGGAAGACAGCCCTCGGGGAGGTCCCTGCTGGCCAACCTGGTGGTCACTTCTCTGGCCTCACCTGCCAGTGCCCAACAGCTCTCGCCATCTGCTGCGGCTGCGTCCTTGTTGCTCTTGATTTCAGACACTGTTTAGCCTGATTTTCCTTGGGTCTCATGAGTTGCCCCCTCCGTGCCTCTAGATAAATCCTCATCTTTCTCTGATGATGTCTGGGGTTGGAGCTCTGCCCTCAAGCTTGTCTTTCAAACTCACTCCTAACATGGTCTGCTTGGTCCCCTCTCCTTGCCTGTGTGTCTTCTGAGGAGGAAGTGTCCCTGCTGACCCCTACTGTGAGCTCTTGGTCCTCAGGTGGCCACCAGCAGGACCCTGGAGTCTTCCGCCAGCCCCTTCTTGGCCCGGGCTCCCACATTTTGGCTGGTGGTACCACCAGCTCCCTGGTTAGATCTTCTCAGATCAGTCAGCTCCTATTTTCCCACCTACCCAACATCCACTCTCCCCACAGGTTCACCCGGCCCCTCCTGCAGGCTCTCTCTTCAGATCAGCATCTTTCATTTCCTCCTTCCCACCAGAGTAGTTTCTCACTGGGGTTCCACTGTTTGCTCTATTTCTTATTCCATCTCCCTGAAACACACAGGATATTTAAATGTAAATATCACCTTACTTGCTTCTTTAAAAGTTTCCCAAACTCTTCCCAGAGGAAGGAGAAATCAGTCATTTGGGCACAAAACCAAGAGGCCCCTAGAATTAAGAAATCATTTTCCACCATTCAGACCATAATTATCACAACAGATAACTCACAGCAGATATTCCAAATCTTTCATATTTTCCTGAAGCCTCAGAACCTCCTGCCTTACGCTCAGCAGATGGCTTTACCCTCATTCTACGGAGAGCAGGGCTGGAAAGCTCCAGACTGGGATGAACAAGACCACTTGTGCCCGGTCGCTCTACATCTCAGCCCTCCTTCCTGCATGCCAGGCCCCTGTTCTGACCTAGCTGTTCCTCAGACAATGGCTGCCCTTTTCCCTCACTCCACTACAGATTCTCACTTCTCTCATCCTTAATCTCTGGTTATCCTGAAACTTCCAACAAACTGGTTCTCCTTTATTCCCAAACAATTTTCTGCCCATTTCATCCTCAGAGTACTAGCCAGACTTGCTCTTCTGCTTCTGCTTCTGCTTCTGCTTCTTCTTCTTCTTCTTCTTCTTCTTCTTCTTCTTCTTCTTCTTCTTCTTCTTCTTCTTCTTCTTCTTCTTCTTTTTTACCAGAGTCCCTACATCTGTTATGTCCATTCTCCTCTGACCATTGCAATTTAGCTCCTACCCAGAAGTCACCAAAACCTCCTGAAGGTCTCACCCAACATCCTTTTCTACATCAGTTCCATTTGGTGTCACTAACCCAGCCTTTCTCGCCACCCCTCTCCCCTTGGCTTCCAGAATGCTTCCCGTTCTCATTCTTTCTACTGTTTCTCCTGCTCTTCTTCTTCTTCTTCTTCTTCTTCTTCTTCTTCTTCTTCTTCTTCTTCTTCTTCTTCTTCTTCTTCTTCTTCTTCTTCTTCTTTCTCCTCCTCTTTTTCTTCCTCCTCCTCCTCCTCCTTCATAATAGCTTTACTGAACTCAAATTTCCACACTATACAATTTGTACACTTAAAACATATTATCCAGAGATTGTAGCATACCAACAAAGTGGTATAATTATGACTACAATCAAATTTAGATCATTTTTGTTATCCAAGAACAAACCACTCTACCTACTAGCTATCTCTCCTAATCCCTCCCTTCTATGTCGGGACAACCACTGAACTACCCTTTACTTTCATGGATTTTCCTACTCTGGGAATTTGTTTTATTTTTATTTAAAAATGGAGGGCCGGTGAGATAGTTCAATGGACAAAGCACCTGCTTTGGCAAGCTCAGGGACCAGGGTTTGATCCCTGGTCCCATATGCCATGCTGGTCAAACGTCGAGGTGTGCTGAGCCAGCAACAGAGTCTGAATGTGGTGGCACATGCCTGTAATCCCAGCACTGGGAAGGCTGAAAACAGAAGGATCCCTATGAGCCCAAGCTGTGTGAGACCCTGTACCAAATACATACATTTAGCAAAAGAACATATTCACACTAGCAATAGGTCCTTAATATGACCAAAGAAATGGAAATTGTACAAATTTAGTTCTTGCAACATATTGGAGTGAAACTAGAAACTGCCAGCTTATACTTGCTTAGAATACAATAATTGTTTTTCTTTTTTCCTATTATGTGTTTTGGTGCTGATACCTATGAACTAAGCAACTGCATCAAGAGTAGCAGTGTGTAATACTTTGGCTATGCTTGCAATGCCTGTCATTCCAGTCTTCTAAACATGTGCTGCTCCTAATGTCATATCAAATACTGCTATACTCTCTCAAATAAACCTTTTTTTTAAAAAAAAGTAATAAAAGAAAACAAGAGACAAGAAAAAACTGTCACAGGACTATCCTGCTACAATGTTGTGTATGGTTAGATTTCTAAATTTCTGTGTAAAAAATGTGTAATTGCTCATTTTTATTTTATTACTTTATTTTTTCTCATATTCCAGAGGGATTTAAAGTTTAACGTATCAATAATTGTTGGAAAAATACCTGTTCCATGTTATGTCTAAGGTTCTTGATATTCAGACAGATAGTGGTGTTAAGCTCAAATGCCTGTGTTATAAGGTAATAATATCATTAAGCTTCTCTGAAGTTAATAACTTCAGTTTGCAGACCAAAAATTAGAGAAAAAGAAGGGCTACAAGTATAGCCAATGTTTTGGCCCTAACCCTTCAATGTCAGTGAGGACTCAGGACGTAAGAGAATCTGCACTATAACATCATGTAACTCAGTGGTGTCCCAAATTTTCTATTCAAGGAGGTTATGGGGCCACAGAGGAACGTGATCGATGATGTAGAGTGTGTCTAAGGAGAGTCACATGGACAGAAAACATTCTCTCAGGCTTTCACAGAGAGCACATTGGTCAAGCAATGTCTGTGACTCATCCACATGGCTGACACTGACAAAGGTTCTACAATCTGTGGTACAGGGCTACAGGATAAATCCTGAGAGTACTTGGCTACCTTATCAGATACTAAAGTTACATTTTTTTGTTATATAGGTCTTGCTTTATCTTGGTCTTAACAATCCAGCAGAAAAGTATAAAAGTATAAATACAAGGTATAAAAAGTAAAACCCTATTAATATGCTGAGCTGTAAAAGGCACAAGTCAACAACTTCTGACATTGCGAGTTCCGAGGATAACCCGCTGCTATTATGGACTAGTGGACTACATTGGATTATTTTACTGAATTCATGCACCTACAGTATTTGAATGGCGGGGCTGAGGAGATAGATAGCCAAGTTGAATATGCACTTGCCTGGCAAGCGCAAAGGCCTCAGTTCAATTCCCAGCTCAAAAAA